TGGCACCCTACCAAGGGTGACATAGTGAGACTCTGTCTCAAAAAAAAAGAAAATCACACTTTTCAAAACAACCATTGTCTGTTTTCCTAAATTATTATGATTATCTTATTTTTGACAATAGAAAAATAAAACAATAGAACACCCAAAAATGTGCCTGAAGTGTTGACCACACATAGTCAAATCTGTGTAAATTTATCTGTTAGATTATAGACAAATTTAAAAATTACGTCAGTCAGATATGAAGACTGAAATGTTATCATAGAAGTAGCACCAAGATAGTCACGTCACTTAAGATTTCCACTGTCAACTACTTCAATATGCTACTTCACTTCCTTAGCACAGTCCCAGCCCGTATCCTTTTTACAATTATATGTATTCCAGAATATTGTTCACTCACATTCTTCTCAGCTTTTTATATGGCGAGAAAGCTCCAGGAGGAATGACTTTGATTGAATTCTGTTCCAAACGTCTGCAACGAAAAGCATTCAGTCTGTGAATGGGAATGGGAACTCACAGACACGGATAAGTCTCAGGATTCGCGTCAAGAAGCAAAGCTGATGCTCCTCAGGAGGGATATTTTCTTTTTTTCCTCAAAAATGACTCCTAAAATTAATTGTGCTGTTCCTTAAACGGGAAACAAGCCATTTTTATAAGACAGTGATAAATCTAATAAAACGCTGAGATTTTTAAAACATTACCAATCCATCATTATTTAGGTCTGGTCTTTGTATAAAAGAGAAAACGCCTTTAAGAAATTAGGAGGATATTGTAATGACCTGAATATAAGTAAGAAAACCATGTAGTAATGCTGAATGGGCGTGTTACATATTTTAGAGAGAATCATAAAACTCTTCCACGCAGAAAATTACCTTTGAATATTAAATTTTATATGCCTTTTATTTCTTCTACAGAATGGTTGAAAAAAAAAACTGTTATACTCACAAAATTAACTCTGAAGTTTCTTATGTGGCAAAATTGTAAGTTCTAAATCCATAAGTGCTACAGAGATGTTCAGTAAGTCTAGACTAAGTAACTTCACTACGTGACTGTTTCACATAAAAACCACCACAGCAAAGTGCATTCAAACACAAATGAAGTACTTCTCTGGTACACTAAAATCACAGAGTTAAAAATAATTCTCTGACATCCTCTAATCTACAGCCCTGCTAACAAAGACAAGATTTTATCCATCTCGTTGTGAAAGACAGAAAGATGTAGATTTCGTGAAGTCTTTGAGTTAGTATTTTAGTTCATCAATAAATGTTGCCTCTCAGCTTCCTTTCTCCACACAAAACATCCTTGGAAATGTTTCCCCCTCTTCTCCTCCGCCCTGCAGCCCACAGAGCTGGTGGTTCACATATTCCAGGCTCACGGCCGAAGGCCCC